CATGATCTGGCACCTGCCCACAGTGCCAAAACCACCAGTAACTGGTGTACTGACCATGGCATTACTGTCCTCGATTGGCCTGCAAATTCCCCTGACCTGAACCCCATAGAGAATATGTGGGGTATTGTGAAGAAGAAGCTGAAAGACACCAGACCCAACAATGCTAATGAGCTAAAGGCCGCTATTGAAGCATCCTGGGCATCCATAACACCTCAGCAATGCCACAGGCTGATTGCCTCCATGCCACGCCGCATTGATGCAGTAATCCGTGCAAAAGGATTCCCAACCAAGTACTGAGTGCATTAATGGACATTTTCAAATGTTTGATTGTGTTTTGCTGTTATAAATCTTTTTTTTTTACTTGGTCTGAGGAACTATTCTAATTTTTTGAGATAGGATTTTTGAGTTTTCTTAAGCTGTATGCCATAATCAGCAATATTAAAATAATAAAAGGCTTGCAATATTTCAGTTGATTTGTAATGAATCCAGAATGTATGACATTTTTGTTTTTTTAATTGCATTACAGAAAATAAAGAACTTTATCACAATATTCTAATTTTCTGAGACAGTCCTGTATTATAATTTGTTTTCATAGTTAGTTAAGTAGTTCTCTTTGTGTATAGTAAATTGACAGGTGTAACGTTTTCTGCAGACGTGGAAAAATGAGACTGAAACCGAGCAGGAGAAGCGCTCTCCAAAGGAACGGCCCGTCCTCTTGTCAAAAGACATAGAGTCCAAAGTGTCCCTGCTGGAGCGGGAGCTCAACTACCTGCTCAACAAGGCCAAATTTGCCAAGCCCAAAGCCAAAGCCAAGAACAGCACAAGCACTGATAAAAGCAGCAAGGCCAACAACACCACCAAGGAGAAGGTCATCCCCTCCACAGAGGAAAGCACAGACTCAAAGAGTGGTGGGTCAATCGTGTATTATCCAAAAATAATTACAACTGTTATGACGTTAGAAAAACTACTTATTTTTGTTGTCTTTTTCAAAATGCTCAATTTAAATACAGAAAGCTCAGAGGAGGTACAGCCAGGGGAAGTCCCGCCCACTGAGGAGAGCGCTACAAACACGGACTCGGACAGCCAATCACAGCCCACAGAAGAATCAACAACCACAGGTCGGTCTGCCATTCCTGTAGCTGATGATGCCGGAGAGCTTTAGTCAACTCCTCACCACTCAACTCCTCACTGACACTAACGGAGCATGAGAGTTATGCTGGACTGTTGTAACGGATCGCATTATTGTTATAAAGCTGCTGTGTTCAGCCGGGCTTTCTTCAGAAGGCTCTCCTTCATTCTCATGATAGGGACTCTTCTACTGCACTTTCTCAACTATTATATCTCCTGCTCAAACATTCAAACGCTTAATTCCAGAACTGCTGATCTGCCACTGTCCCATAATGAAGGATTCATGAATATCAAATCAAAGTTAATGATTTGTATTGGTTGAATAATACCTGTGATATATACCAAAAGACTACGCATTTGTAATAGATGTTTTATTCGCTGCAGTACCTGCAGTGTGGTACTTCAACGTTTTTGAAGCATTTCATGAGCAAGTAAGCATCCTTCTGATGAGTGAATCAGAATAGTACAGTCAACTATTAATGTAACATACGGCTCCTTTTAGAATGACTTCCCTCAACTGACACTATGTAGCACTTTTAAAGGATATCTCTGGGAGAAGCACCTAAAGGTGGAGGACGCCTTTGGCTTGCCACAGGGATTTAGACATGTAAAAAGAGACGGAACTCTGACTCTAGCCTCACCTTAACTCTAACCCACTCCTCACATGTCTGTAGTCACTTCAGCTGAGTGAACCGGAGGAAGACGCACTGTAGTTCAACTATCATTTATTTCATTCGTACATAGGTTGATCTGTACAACAACCCTCGTCGTTTTGACATGAAATGGTTGATTTATGAATGGACATAAATATGTAATACTCCAACAACTTACAGTGGTAGTAAAACATGGGAGTTTTGTCCCTTTTAAGACAATGATCCATAAAAACAAAAACCATACAAGTGTTTTCAATGCTAGTTTGTGTTGCTGTTGTTCCAGCTGTTGAATAGTAATAAAACCTGCAGAACAATGTGATGTCATTTATTACATTAAAGGGTTGAATCACATTCTAATCCCATCCAAAGGAGCATTTGCTTTACATTAGAACAAGCTATCCCGTCATTCTGTTTCTGACTCGCAGCAGACTGCTCCTTGTTGTAAATGAAAGTGATGTAGACAAAGCTGACGGGTGTGGCATGTGCTTGCTTGTAGTAGAAATGTAAATCGTTTGATGTGGTGCATTTCAATAATGATGAGAATGCCCCGATGACATGATCAGATATTGTTTTACCAGGTCAGAGTCAGACCACAAACCAGCTCTGGATTTTCCCTCATCTTGCAACCAATGCCTGCAAATGTCTCTGCTAACAGGCTTCACCATGGCAACAGCTTTTTGTGTGTGTCTTATTGAATCCGCAAACATGCGCTCGAGTTACCCAGCACTTGGAGTGAGTTGATGTAATCCAACACAGTATTCATGTTTCCCTCTCTCTTCTCATTTCCAGGAGCAACAGAGAAGACCCAGCCTGAGAAGCACATAGAGGATGAATTATAACAGCTGGAACTGGGAAAAATCACTTTATTTATTGATAGTGTATAAATGTTCGCGTTCCTTCTCACTCTGTTTGTTTTTTGTTTAATTTTGTCCTTTTGTCCTTGTTTATTGAACCGCTGGAAGATAAGGATTGGAGACCACTCAGCTTGTCCCCTTCTTCTTCTGTACTCTCATCTCCTCCGTCTCATGGATTCTATAAGCTACCGTCACTCAAACACCAAGAAGCAGCAAAACCAAAATAAAGCCCAGATGCAGCTCCAAAGCACCACCTCACATCCAGCAAACTGCTGATGGAGAGGAGATGAGGCCGTGCTGGGCCGTGTTGAGACCATCCGGACATTTGACAGGCCAAGTGTGTGTATTCTCTGGTCTGTCCTCAATGGACACTTCCTGTCCTACTTTGTCCTCTGCACTGATTTTGTTTCTGTAGCTGGGAGGTTAGTATTGGTCTAAAAGCTGCAGCTGCTCTTTCCCTGGCCGAGTGGTGGTGATCACTGACTATTAACCTGCTGCTTAATAGTCCTTTAGAATTTGTTTTTTCTCCAAACCAGAATTTAGCCAAATAAGTTATAGATGTATTTGTACCATTTATACTGTAATCACTTACAGTATATTTAAAACTATGTGGTAGTAAAGTCAGTTGAATTTTCATTTGGTTAAAGAATCTGTCATAAATATTCATGGTTTAATGGTATAATATAGGAGGTCATAATATATTTACCAACTGGGCTAAAGAGTGGCTGTCAATTAAGAAAGACTCAATTCTATGACCATGTAAACTAGGTATAACATGCAGGTATAACTGCCTCGTCTATTAACATATGGTGGACCTCCGTGTTTAAAAGCAGAACTACTGATGGTGGCAGATCTACTGCCACCTGCAGCTCATTCAGATCTAATGCCCCCTGCAGCTCATTCAGAGCTTGTTATTTTCCCAATTAGTGTCTGAATACATTCATGATAACCTCTCCTTTAATGTGCAAGGTTCAGACCGTTTGCGTCCATCAGGCAGCACTTGTTGCCCCCCCAGCTGCTCCTGTATGTGTAATACACATATGTGTGCCATCTTTCTGCTGGTGCGGCTGAGTTCTTTCTGATCCAACTGAAACTTTGATTGTGTGCCAGGCACAGTGGGCACTCCATCTTTAACATTTCATAAGCTGCTAAACAATTTAGAGGGAGGGGGGGGTCATTTGTATCTTTACCTGGACATGCCCTGTGGTGCAGATGTTGTCTCTGTTTTCTGCTGGAACGTTTTGAGGGGGGGGGACTGTTTGTTGCACTGTGGATTATTTGAAGGGGAGAACTGTAGAAAACAAAGTCAGGAATGGAAGATGCAAACAATGTTGTCTTTCTAAACTGTTAATAAAAAACTCTTTTTGTTTTTAATTCTTAGTGTATGATGTAATTGGCTTATCGATTGAAACGGTTATTGATGGTGGCTAGTACATAGATCAGAAAGCAAACTTTATTATTTTTGCTCTCTTAGTAGTTGATTGGATTTCTACTGACAGAGCCAAAAATGTTTTAAAATCAGATCAGTCCTGACCTTTGTAGTGTTTCATATTTTGTAAATCTGCCTCGTAGCTTTCATAGCTATAAATATTGGGAAATAGTTTGAAAGGTTAAAGGAATCCCTCTGCAGTGAATGCATTTAACCTGTTAAGCCCCAAGGTCCCCGCCAGATTGACTGTCTCAGGGGATCTTAATATTTAAGAACCTATTAATGTGTTATACCAGATTAACGGGAATAATCTCAGCTAACTGATGATACAAACCATTTTTACCAAAACAAAGGAGCTGCTGGTGGAGCTGTGCATCCTAGTGTAAACGATGAGGGCCACCAGCAGGAGGCCACGCCGGCTCCGACTGAAACCGCCAGCACAGTCTGATGAGCCCCTTGGGGGGGGACTGAGCATTACATGTAATTCCAGAATTGGAGGAAGTTTTCTTTCACACCTATTCAATTTCATAAAATCCATGCCCAAAATGCTAAAACATGCACTGTTGGTGTGTTAGATATGCTTGTCCTTAGAAAAAATAAAAGCGTTCTCGAGCCCCCCACTAAAATGGCAATTTTCTCTTGTCCCTCATTCTTGGAGACCAATATAACAAATAACAAATGTAACATTTAAAACAGACTTACCAAGCCCAATTCCAATGAAGTACAAAGACTATTATGTAATGTTCAAACTGATCAACTTTAGTTTTTTTGGCAAATATTCACAAATGTTTTATGTTCCAAAAACGATGGGACGGAGGCATGTTACCAGTGTGTTGCATCACCTTCCCTCTAACAACACTCAATGAGGACAATAAGGCCCCGTCCACACTGAGACAAAACCGATTTCGAACCGAAGTCGATTTCAAAAAAGTCTCCCGTCCACACGGAATCGGCTCAAGAAATGTTTCCGTCCAAACGAAACCGCTGGAGACGCTGTAGTACTATCCCGGGCCTGTAAGTGGCGCTGTATTCCCGCCACAAAATACACCAAAAGCAGCGAATAAGACCCCCCGAGCATGGGCTTAAGGCATAAACGAACAAA